CTCTCTCTCTCTCTCTCTCTCTTCCCCTATCTTTTTCACTTGCTCTATCTCTCTCTTCTTCTTCTTCCTCGTTCTCGATGACAGCAGCTGGACAGTCAGTCCGATGTCGCGTACAAATTGTGCAATTCGCTTCAACTCTGAGAGACTTCCATAGAGCTTTCTCTCAAGGGTAGCCACATTCTGCGACGTCTGTGTTCGAAGGGTGGCGTAGCGCGGGCAGTGCTGAAGGATATGGTTGGCATCCTCTTGGTCGTGTCCACATTCACAGATGGCTGACTCTCCCATTTTTAATTTGGTGTGCATATTGTGTTTGAGTCTGTTGTGGCCACAACGGAGTCTAAAGATTGTGACCTGGTCCGCTCTATTTAGTATGTAGTAGGGATCATCTCTGTTGTGTTTAGGGTGGGACCTTTTCCATCTGTCTTAAGGCAGATATTATTAGTGTTTTTGACTCTGAGAGATCCATGCCATCTTCAATCTATTTTTGCTCCTTCTTTGGCTAAGTCGTCTGCTTTTTCATTCCCGTGAATGCCACAGTGACCTGGTATTCACTGCAGAGTTGTGTCTATCTTTCTCAAAACAAACACACACACACACACACACACTCACACTCACACACTCACACACACTCAAACACACACACATAAACACATACACACGCACGCACACACACGCACGCACTGCAGAGTTGTGTCTATCTCTCTCAAAACACACACATACACACACACACACACACACACACACACACACACACACACACACACACACACACACAACATATACACACATACACCGGTATCAGAGGTACATCGCATGCAGAAGAACCGAGTTCAATTCACATGTCGGGATAATTTCTATCGAGTATCGAGGTCTTTCTGTTGGGATGTTGTTTCCCTCTCTCTGTTGGGATGCCTTTTCCCTCCCAGCTTGGGTTGGCCTTGACATGCTGGGTCTAAGACCGCCTCCATTTGATTTAAACTGTGTTGATGGGGGCGCTAAACACGCAGAATAATAAATAAAGAAATAAGGATAAACCATTGCCATGTTGTGACCTTTGCCCACAAATGTAGATAGTATCATGAAAGCCATTGTATGTTGACTTTACTGACCGAACATTGTAGAAAGTATCACTGTGCTGTAAGTAGGTTAATTCTACGTCACTGCTTGTGAATCAGTAAAAGGCCCTTCGTCCCACGAACCCTCCCTCCCCAACCCCCCAGATATGAAGCTACCATTTCGAAAAAAAAAGACAAATGTACTTTCTTTAATAAGTTTCAAAATCTTACTGTCTAATTGAAAAGAAAACTTATTGTCAAAAATATTTTTTCATTTTTGTAATGAACGGCCTGTACCTAACCCTCCATGTCAACACCACTTTGTTTGACGTCGTTTGTTATTCTTTTGCTTCCGCAAAGTAGAAGGGGGAAAAAGTTTGGGGAAATAGGATTCAGTTACAAACAACAAAACATTTTTACACCCCCATCAACACTGTCCGAGCAGGCTGTTTGGAACCTGCCTGATATGGGGCCAATCTGGGCAGGGTGAGATGCAGCATCCCAGGAGACTGAGACATCGACTAAATAACTTTTATAGCCGGGAAAACGCTGACAACACAGTTATCATTGAATATCCAACGTTTAATTTCTACTTCTCAAACTGCGGATGCTTGCCATTCATACAGAAAGGATCCCCACCCACAAAATAACCCAAACTCCAAACAAACCAAAAAAAAAAAAAAAGATCAAACAGTTAAATGAAAATACCCCGCCTGTGCGATAAGTGGTCATGTGGTACCATCAGGCCAAATAAACTGACGCTCACAGGTTTTTCTGCTTGTCCCGTTTGAGATGAACATCCTTATATGGCACACACACGAACTGGTCCAGTGTGGCTGCTCCAACCATGGATCGCTACTAAGAGTCTCTATGTTCTCCTAAGTATGCCGTCTTCACGGCCATGGAACAAGTATACATTTCCACACGTCCACTCGTTGACATGACCAGGTGCGTGCTGGCCGCTGCACTCAATAACACAGCCAGGGGTTATCGCCCTCCGCCATGTTGTTCCGGTCTCCGCACTGGCTCTGTTGACGTCATGGATTTTCATGCCACTGGGTTCGGCGGTGTACTAAAGAAAGAATGATAGTTTGGCACTTTTTTTTTAACCACAGGACTGCCTGGCAAGAAAGTCTTTATTGGGCCAGGAGCTTGATTCCGGATTGTAGGTTAAATATGTCTGTGTTTGTCTATTTAGCAACGATATACGTCTTCTTGCTTTTCCCGGTCTCTACAGTATGCTCTCATTTGTACTTCTGTCTGTCCAACCGCAGCTGAGTAATACATTCACCTGTTTCAATTATTTTATCATAATCTTGTCTTCGTGTTTACGGTTTCTTATAGATATTAAGTAAGCTTACGTTTATATCATGTCAGTTCACATAATATGTCATTTGAATGATCTCACTGACTCGTTTGATGTGTTTCTCCGTTAGTTAGGTTTTTCTGAAGGAGATGTCCAAGAGTGGCGGAACCGAAGGAATAGACCTAAAAGGGTCTCTCGA